TCCGTTGTATGGTGTGAGACCAAACAGCTGTTTATTGCAATATTTTACTTCCAGCAGTGGAAAGGAGCAGATGATTGTGGAGAGTATAACCTGGTAAGTGCAGAATTCCCTCTCTGGCTGTGCCATTGGTTGGCTAAGAGACTTTTTGGCAAAGACTTGCAGTCAGCCCATCGGTTTAAATAGCTGCCAGGAGAGCTCTCCTCCACAAACTTGTTGGTCCCCTTCCTGAAATCATTTGCTCCCTTGATCTCCACATCATCCAGCAGTTTAATTGTTCAGGGAGTAGTGGAAAGCTTAATATTCTGTGAGAAATGGTAACTGGTCTGTCTTCACTCCTGTTCCTCATCATTTCTTCCAGTTAAATAATGGGAAAAGATGTGGTTTTATTGCCTATAAACACTTCAGGGAAAACTGAGAAAGCATTTCTGTGTCTACACTTAGGCCACTCACACTGTTTGGTGTTTCCAAGAACACCGTGACAACTGTGTGCTGTTTCTTGACTCATCTTTTGCTCTCAAGGTGAATGAAGACACTGGAGGGAAAGGTGAGAGTGATGAAGCAGATGCCTGGAATAAGCAAGTGTGTGTTGAAACAAGGCGTGTGTTGAAGCAAGGCATGATCATGAGCAATGATCATTAGCAATGATTCCTTCTCTAAGCCTCCATATTTCTCCAGGCACCAGGGCTGGAGGCAGTATTTTCCCAACAGGAGGACAGAGCCAAGGGGTGACAGTGCCCTTGTTATTCACCTGCCTCCCTGGGGCAGCACAGGGATGCTGCAGTCATCCAGCCACCTCCCATGGCCACAAGGAGGTCTGAGTCACACAGTGAGCGTGACACAGTCACGCAGCCTGACTCACCATCCTCTGATCCCCACACAGCCAGGAGAAGATCCATGGCACAGCCCTGCTCCAAGGAGATGCCCTGACTCTGCAGGACTGCTACTGGGGGCACCACCCACAGAGATCCTGCTGGATGACCTGTCTCAGGCCAGGAGCAAAGTTTTTTAGCTACCCTCTCATAGGGAGGATGGGACCTCACCATTAAACAGGTAACCTGCCCAGGTAGTACTCCTGGATAGATCTGAGCATGCACAGACCTTGTTTTTGAAGGAAAGGATAATGTCCTTTGCTTGTCTATCCCTCTGTACTTGTGCAAGGCTGAAAGAGTCCTATTTCTGAAAGGAATTTCCCCATGCATCCTTGCACTCTGCATTCCAGCCGCTCCTTGTGGATGGCTCTAGAGGGGATTTACTGTTCCTCCCACTCTCCTTTTTCCTGCCTCCAGCCAGTCACTAGATCTCAGGATCCTGGAGCACTAGCTCCGAGGACCCAGCACCCAAAGGGAATTTCTCACTGTGATCCAGCAGATGACTGAAGCAGAGTGCCTGGATGCTCTCAGCCCTGGTCTCAGCTCAGCTAAAGCTCTCCTGGCACTGAAGTGAATGAGGTGGAGAAGACATGTCCAGAAGAAGATGGACAAGGTGTGAGGGAAACAAGATACAAGTTTGGACCTGATTTAGGGGTCTGTTCAGGAATTTAAAGGGCAGGTAAGTGCCTCAGCTGGACAGAGAGCAAAGCACATTCCTGAGTAAAACTCAGGGCCCTGCTTAAGTCAGGTGGTCCATGATATCAGTTGTCACTGCTGCATAAAGGTGGGGGAAAAGTAGGGAGGGTGATGCTGAGAGCAGTCTGGTGAGCTCAGGTGTTGAAACACAAGGAGAGAGAGGCCTGTAGTAGGGCAAAACCTCAGGTTTTCAGGACAGTTCTTCTTCCAGACCTCCTCCGCTCTGGAGAAGGAATGTCAGCCCCTTCCCACACCTACCAGCAAAGTGTTATTGTGTTTCCAAGCCTTCTGCAGCTCCTCACCATGAGCTGTTGGCTCAGGCTGTGCAGCCCTCCCAGACCTGCACTGTGTGTTTGCAGAGTGATTGTTCAGCTGCCTGGCACTGACCAAAGTCCATGCTTTGGTCTGTCTCAGAGAATTATGTACAAATGCTGCTTTGGCCAAAAGAGCTTTGTTTTTACTAGTTTCTTTCATCTCCAGCACAACAGTCTGGCTGTGGTCTTTGCTTTGATTATTTTTTCTCCTCCCTCTTGATTTTGATAAAAATTTAGATCTGCCGTCCTCAACCCATATTTCATTCTATGACTAGATAAATAACCAAGCAAGGTTGAGAGACTGAATCATCAGGCAATCCAGCTTTTTTATTTGGTTTTACTTTACTTTGCAGGATTTTTTCTTTATTTAGCGTGTCACAATGTTATATAGTCACAGCATCAGGAGGAAATAAGACTCTCTAGAAAACTGATACCAGCAGAACATGAGTTGTTACAACAGGTCAGTTGTCCCCTTACAGTATCTGAAGCACACGGAGCTCTGTGATGTAGCAGGCAGTGACAGAGGACATTAGGGACACAAACAATTCCAGGATCCCAAACATTCACTTCAAACAAGTTTCAAGATGGTAGTTGAAGTAGCTAAAAGGACATGTTTAAAAGGGAGGTGAAGTGAAACACCTGAACATAGGAAAGCTCATCCTTGAAACACAAAAAAATACCCCAAAATTAGGATTGGTACGTCCTTCAGTCTGAAACAGCTGTTTGCTGTACAAATCCTCATCTCACCAAGCACAGTCTCAGTCTCATTTTGTTTGTTTTTTCCTGCCACTGTTCTCCTTTTCACTCAAATCACCCAGCTTCCCTGCTGCCCTGCTTGCCCATAGGAGACCAGTGAAAAGCCCAGCTTCCTGCTGTCAGGTTTGTGTCCAGTCATGGAGCAGCTGGGAACATTCCAGTCCCTCATCATCAGGGTGCTGAAGTCTCTGCTGTCACTCAGTGGGAACAGATGTGAGCAAGACACCAAACATGATGGAAGAAGTAGGAATGCTCCTGGACTTCTGGTGAAGAACTAACAGCTCTCTACAGCATCTTTGCTGATCATGTCTCTGCCTTGCTGGAGAAGTTGTAGGTTGGACTCGTACAACCCACTTGGCTATGGAAAGGCTCAAGGAAAATAATGCAATACTCACAAAAGTGGGAAAGATGTAGGGATGATTAGGAGAGAGAGCAGCCCCTGCTGTCAGAGGTGTCATGCTTGGTATGGGAGGCCTCTCTTCCCATCCTATTGCAGTTTATTCAGGGAAAGCCAACAGGGTCCTGGCTGAGCAACATGGAAGAGCATTGATAGAGACAAACCCTCATCTCTCAACTGACGTTCTTGATTGTTGGAAAGGTGTAGATTTGGTAGTGGCAAGTTTCTTACCAGCTGTTATGTTCTGTGAGTGCTGGTGGAGTTGGACTGAAATTGAGGAGAGTCTTATGCTCCAAATAGATATTCCAGGCTGAAATGAGTCAGAAACTGGAGAGTCCCCAGAAAACATTTATTCAGCCCTCTGAGCCAACTGCAACAAGTTCTCCAGAGGGGACCAGCCCAAATCACTGTGGTTTCAGTATTTTGTGAAATGTCTTTAATATTCTTTCAGAGCAGCATAGTTAACATGCCTCATTTTGTAAATCATTTTGAAAAAGAGCACCAGAGTGTTTGGTTACAAATACATGAACACAAGATGCAGCAGTAAGGATTTATTCTTCATCATTTTAATCAAAATGGAGTCAAAGCTGACTTAAAAATATTTATTACCAATTTAGAGGGAAGACAGCTTAGTTATAAACAATTTCTGTCAAAACCCATTCTGCTTAAGACCTGAAAGTGTTAATGGAGCGTGATGACAGTAAGTCAATGTAGTTTTTGCTCTTGCAAGCAAAGATGGTGCAGCCTTTCCTGGGCACAGGAATAGTTTGTCTGACTTTGTCTGACTGCTTTTTTCTGGGATAGTCCACACCGAAGGAGATGTCGTGGGTGCCACAATGAAATCCCAGACCCAGCTGTTATGAGTTGACTCTTCTTGTGAAAAGGGTCATGCATGGCTTTCATCTAAACACCACTGATGGGTTTGACCTTGGACCTGGATCAATTCAAATGACAAAAACACTGTGGACAAGTGAGTGTTGACCTGTAAGTCAGGTAGGTCTATCTCCCCTGCTATGGACTTGAGATTTAACTTTGGATATCCCTTTGCTTCCTTGCTTTAGGTTCCCTTGGATGTGTGGCCTCGTGGTGGCAGGAGGAGCCCTACCTCTGGTTCACAAAGGATGCAGAGATGCTCACACATTGATAGGAAAAGGGGTTTCCTCAGCAGCATCCGGCCATCTGGAAATGCAGCTCTGCCTGCTGAAAATCTGCCCTTTGAAATGCCAAGTCAGTCTGGACACAGCTAACCCTGCCTCTGTTAAACATTTGCTAAGTGTCTAAAGGGCAGGATCAGAGCATAAGTGCCAATGTGCAAGTGGAAGTGGGAGGCCAATGCCCTGACACTTCCCAGCACAGGGAAAAAACCCCTCCCACATCTGCTCAGCCCATCATAGAGGTTCTGGTGCTGTCACACAGGCAAAGAGCCCACCTCTGTCTCAGGAAGTGCTTGCGTGGGTTCCTGGAGGTTGGAGAGGGCTCGGTACTGTCACAGTGCTGACCCTGTTCATGTGTGCCTTCCAGAGGCACCTGCTGCAGCCAGAACCGTGGAGCAGGAGCTGGAGGGGCTGCAGGCATGTCCCCATGCAGTGCCATAGCTGAGGAGGCATCCTCCAAGGAAGGTGCCACTGGAAGGGACACAATAAAAGGCTGGCTTAATTTGTTACCACGCCACTAACTCCCGTCAGCTCCAGACTGTTTCTGCAAGGACACCAAAGACAATTTTGTTCAGAGTCCATAAATTTCCCTAGTTAAGAACTAAGCTAAAAACATTCCCTACTGACACAAATTGTGACGGAAAACAACAGTGAACTCTTATAACTGCTAAGAACAAACATGACAATCAAAAATTGAGCACTAGAGGACTACCCAGCCTTGAAGGGAGAGGGCTCTTCAGCTTCCTTTCCATATCCAGTTCCACACTCCACTAGAATCTTGCAAAGTTTTGTAATGCGCAATCCATAGCTGCCCAAATACTTTTTCAAAGGGAGAACCTGTAGGGAGCACCCACCATCCAAAACCAACAGAGAAGACTGCAGACAGACCATGGCTGATGTTGGCTGGGTTGTTTCCTTCAGCTAAGTGTGTGGCTCTTGGTGCTTGTAGTGAGAGTCATCTCTGCTGGAAAGATGTCAGACACCAGTATTCCAACGTCTGGTGGAAATAGTTTGCTTCTGGCCTGCAAGCCTGTGGAATTTTCCACTCCTGAAGCAATACCAGCGTCATGGAGTGGAACAGCCTCTCCCAGTGCATGCAGACATCACGGCAATGCTGAGCACGGACCTCCTGCAACAGCCTCTGGCCACCATGGGAGCAGCATAAGGGATTTGGTGAGCTGAGGGTACCCCACAGCTGTGCATCCCCTCGGCATACATTCCCCATCCCTGTGCAAGGAAGTCTTGCAATTTCAAGCTGTTTTTTCCCCTTTTCCCATTGTCCTCTCAGGCTACACAGGAAACAGGAGAACGGCTATTTCCTTGTTTCTTTTGTTCAGTTGATCCCTTATCCATTCCCAGTGGAGAGCTTCCCACAGCCCAGAAAGCCCCTATAAACCTAACACCCCAAGATTCACTTACCAAATATTGCCTTTTTTCCGTTTCCTGGTTAATCATTCTCCCTTGCACGCTCCACAGATGGCAGCTTTGCAGGGGTCAGCTTCAGACTGAACTATTTGAACTATTTGCTGACCCAAGACAGCAGTGCTGAGAGGAGGGACGGGTCTGGGGAAGCAGGAAAGGTCTTCTGCTCCTGCCTTGCTTTTCTTTCTCACTCCATCCCTGGAGACCCGAAGGCCACATCATGATCCAGTAGCAGCTGAGGCAGCTCCTGCCAGAGAGGAAGGTGGATACTTCTGCTGCCCTCACGCTGCTTGGCCGGTCAGTGGCAGCTGTGGTGGTCTGGAAATGGCTGGGCAAAAAGATGATCCAGAAGAGAATGGAAGAAGCTCAGAAAACCCGGCATGAAGGTCTGAAGAAAATGGCAAAGGCTGTCCAGCAGTTCAGGGAGCAGGTAACCAATCCTTCTGCAGGGTCTGAGTCCCACTGGGGTGTCTGCTGACGTTGTCCTTCAACTCCTCCTTCCAGCTCATGCCCCCATAGCTTTTATAAGAAGGAGCTGTGCCAGCAGCCCCCAACAAGAGGAAAGTCTGCCTTGAGAGAAGGGGAGATCACAGCTCTCCTCGGGCTGGAGGAGATGAGGTGGGAGTCTACAGCCAGGGGGATGTGAATTACTCACTAGGAAGAGGTTTTGCAGAACACAGATGAAGAAGCACTGGACCTTCATTGATCCAAAATTCAGTTCTTTCAAAATCTGGAAATGTCTCTTGCCTCTAAGAAGTAAGAAAGCTTTTGCCTCTTCTTAACTCTAAGTTTGCAGATCTGTCCATACCCCTATATCTTTGCCCCTAAAACCTGGCTTCTGGATGGCTTTTGAAGAATCTTCAAAAGAGCTTTCATTAGCATTCCCAGCAAGTGGGACCTCCCAACCCATCCAGCTGCCAAGAAGATGTCTGGTCTAACTTAACACTAATGAAGATACGGCATTCAGTGCCCCCTGGGAGCAACCGGGACATGACATGGGGATGAACAAGGTAGCTAGGCATCCAACCAGCATGGAAGTGGCCCTGAATTCCTACTGCAACACTCATTTCTCAACACCTTTTCTTTCTCCTCCACTTGCTTTGAATATGTACTGGATAAACCAGCTCATATTTTCACAGGTAACATACCTGGAGATAAAGCGTACCCAAAGCAAGCCCCAAATACCAAGGCTAACTGAAGAAGGCTCTCACACTGTGTTTATCTGGGATGAATATTCCCTCCCTGAACATCCACTGATGGCTTCACTTGGACAGCAGGAGACTGGGTTTGATCCTGAGCTAGTGCACCTATGGAGTTGCATTTGTGTCAGGGAAGAGAAGGAGCATCCGCCTGCCCTCCAGCTTCTGTGGGCTGAAGGAGGAAACAGCTGAAGATTTTTAGAGGAAGATGAGACAGGATCAGAAACTGCTGCAGCAAATAACTGAGGGCATTTCCTTTCCCTCTGCTGCAGACCAACTTCAGAAGGTTTTTTCACCTCTGTCCTTTGTAGCAGTGATTGAATCTACTGGTGTAGAGAGGCTGTGTTCTCTCTGAAGGGCAAGATGAAGAAGGCTGGAGAGAAAGGCAAGAGTAGACATTTGGGAAGGGGAATGTATGGAAACTGTAAGCAGCAAACCAGAAAATTAGTTGCTCCCTAACACCTGGAGCTTTTGCCCCCTTCTGCAGTGGGTGTCAGCATGGGGGCAGATCTACCCCCAGCTGGGTGGGTGTCACAAGTGAGTGGTTTAGGTCACTTAAAGAATTACTGTCAAAGGCATTGGAAAAGGGGGCAATACCTTCTCCTCTAAGTGTCCATAGTTGGGGTGGACTGGATTTACAACAGGCTCTGACCTGCTCTCTGCAGGGGTTGTCCTTCTATCCTGGACATGGCTTCAGCCTTTAGGCACACAGCTCCCTAATGCTGCACTGCCCTTAGTGGTATCCTGGCAGGACTGAGGGATTTGGATAGATAAGGTCATACAGGAAGCCTGTGGAAGAGAACAAGTACTAAATCCAGAGTACTCATCAAAGAAACCTTCTCTCCAGCACTTCCAGACATTTGCTGCTAATTGCTTGGCCAGATGCCAAAGGAAACTTTAGATTGTAAAAGCTGTATTGTTTTAAGTAACTGCTAAAATCACCAGGGCCTATCAACCCAGAGGCCTATTTAAGCAATTCCTCCTCCTCTTAAAGCTTAAATATGTTGCTATGATTTCCACTTGCAGGTCAGTGAAGGAGATGTGGAATCATAACCATCAAATTCAGGTATTTTGAAGACTTTCCTCTCTGGCATCGTGCTACAAGTTGAGGCTTTATGGCAAGTGCCAGGTTGGAAAGTCATCGGTTTGGAATGGGGTTGTGCAGGAGAGGAGGTGCTGGGGAGGAGACAGGACAGAGAGAAAGGCACAAAAGAGACAGGAATGGGTAGATGGGCTTTTGGGTCAGCCCAGACAGGACTTTATCGGTTGCCCACAAGGTTCAAGCACAAACATCCATGTTCAACAGTCCCAGCACAACAAAGGCTGTCCTGGGAGAAGGAATGGCTAAAGAGGGACCTTTCCAATTCCTGGCCACATGCTGTAGAGGCAAACATGCATTCCTCTGCCTCTTCCCTCAAGCACTGCTCACTGCTGCTGCCTCCTCAGTTGTGCCAGAGCCTGGTGCACTCCCTGAAAAAGCTGAGATGCCCCAGGCATGGGCATGGGCTCCATGTCATCTCCCTTCTCCTCCCCAAGGTGTACTGCTCCGAGTTCATCACCCAGTGGAAGGAACTCCATCTGGACGTTGTGCTGTGCCCTGTCCTGGGGCCTGCCTTCACCACGGGATACCCCGGGAAACTCTTCAGTAAGTGAGTCTGGGACCTTCCCAGGAGGGACCACAGTGGTTGAGACTGGAGAGAAACAACCGGTACCAGGGAGCTTCACCACCCACCTAAGCATTTTATGGGAATTAGGAAGGAAAAGTAACAACCATAAAGCTATATGAGCAGGTGGAGACAGACACACACTTCTCAGGGGCCTCAGTGAACATGGAATGTGTAAGCTTGAAACAAGACAGGAGGCTGTGACTGGCTGGATTCTCTCTTCTGCTGCTCTCAGCTGCCATCTCCTCCACGATGCTGTACAACATCTTGAACTTCCCTGCTGGGGTTGTACCTGTCAGCACAGTGACAGAAGCAGATGAGGAAGAGCTGGAGCTTTTCCAAGGATGCTGAGATGACCCCTGGGACAGGAAGCTGAAAGAGGTACGGAAAGTGGTGGAGCACACTGATGACTGACATTCAAGTAACAGTTTCACTTGAAGAGCAGGGCTTAAACCACAACCTCCCCACTCTCTGGGATGAGCCACGTGCCTAAACCAGGTTTCCAGAACTTGCTGGAAGTCTGAGCCCCCGGGGTAACCCCTCACTGCTTGTGTGCCTTGCCATGGCAGGAGGAGCTGTGCCTGCAGTTCATGAAGGAGGTGGAGACCCTCAGCCGTGAGAAGAGAGGGGCATAGCCCCCATGGTCCCCTCAGGGCCAAAGGGACAGCACTGCACGACTGCCATTGGCAGTGCAGAGACTACAAAGAGGGAAGGAGGAAGGAAACACCATTTCCTGACCTCTCTCCTTGCCAATAAGCACAGATTCTGTAATGAACCAGGATGCCATGCAGAGAGGAGGACTGGCTTTAAGCTGGGTTCAAATGATGATAAATCTATGCACTGCACCTTCCTGCAAGGATGGACATGGGTGAGTTTTCACCCCTTCACCCCCATTTCCATCGATGCTGCCCCTTGCAGAAGCAGGGTGGTGCTGAGAGAAAAGGGTTACAAAATCTCTAATACTTTCTTGTTGACACTGGAGTAACTTCATATGGGCTGCCCTGTGAGGGATACAGCCATGTCCACCCTGTCCATCACTGTATTTTCCTCACAGAAATCAAAATGTAGCTATTAAGCAACTCTTATCATAAACTCCAGTAATCATTCACTGATGGCTATGGTTCTATAACTAGTTACTATTCAGAATCATACAAACACCTGCCCCTCGAACATTAAATGGCATCTTGCATGGGAGCATTCACACTTTCCCGCAGCCTTCCTGTCTGTGAGGGATAGCAGCAGTCACTGGCCTTTCCACAGCACCAAATCTCCAGCATCACAAACATATTTTCAGCCTCACAGGAGGGGCATTCTTAGGAACCTCTGATATCAGGACCTCAGGCTGCTCTTTCTGAAGGCAGGAGATAAGCAGAGACAGATGCAACTCATTTATGCAGATGGTGAGATCTGGGACAAAGACTGAGATCCCCAGATGGTGTTTGTTAACCCAAACCTGCTCATGTAGGATCAAAGCAGTCAGACAGGAGGGAGAAAGCAGCACCCACACAGGGCCATTTATCCTGCCCCACACGGATAAATCGCTCCCTCTGATAAGACCTCTCTTTCCTAGATTAAACACCTCAGTCTCAAACAGATAAAATATTCAGGAGACTTCACAGCAGGTCTTTCTCATTTATTTTCTATGACTGCAGTAAAAAAGCGGACTTCCTTTGGGACATTTTAAAAGGAAAAATAAATACAAAGCAGTTGTAGTTTCTCTGGAAATTTGGGGTATTTCCTGACAGCAAACAGACATAGTCTGTTGCCCCTTCTACATCCGACGTAATTTGCAGAAATACATAGGTCCAAAGTTGGCTGTGAGGTGAGGCAGAACAAGCTCCCCCAGCCGGCAACCTGAGAAGAAGGAAAACGTGTCCTGGAAGAGCGTCCTAAAGTGGCTCAAGTCCTCAACGTGGACACTGATGTTAAACTGGGTTTCTGCAATTTCTACCGCTCTCTCGACCACACACTCGTTCTGCAGCGGGGAGAGGGAGCACGTGGAGTACACCACATCTCCTCCTGGTTTGGCAGCGAGGATCCCAGCCCTGCAGGCAAGATGAACACACACATTGCATTGTCACAGGAAGAAGAGGAGTGTGGGGCACAGGCACTACTACCCACCAAAACTGGGAAGCCAAAAGGTGACTCATAGGAAGTGACAGACAAATCTTGAACTCCACAGACTCAGCAGTCCGTGTCACTGCAACATGAGGACTGTTTTAGGCCAGGGCAATGAGTCAAATGGATGCTTAGATTGATAATGAATTTAACACGGGAGAGATGCTACTGGAGAGCAGCTGGAAGGTATAACCCTGCAGTCATGTCCAAGGGAATGGGATACGAGCATGTAGAGGGGAGGAGACTCTTGCAGTACAAGCACTGCTATGGGACTCTCTAATCCGTTTCCTTATTATCACAGCACGGTGAGTCCATCCAGACTTCCCAGCAAAATGGGGTGATGAAGCACCCCATGTGCTGGGAGATGTGGGCACTCAGGGATCCTCCAGGGCTGATCAGTGGGATCTGGGAGACCATCACCCAAAAGGACAACACAATACCTATCATGTTGCTTAGACCCTTCTCCCTAGCTCCTACAGCTACTGCTGGGGACAGGCAGGACCTGTGATGTGACCAAGAATATTTGCACCTTCTTACGCTTATATTATGCTTTGATGCATTCCAACTATTGCTCTTCCAGAAAACTACACGTGGTTTCCACATTTCCCAGTTGGGGACAGACAAAGTAAAAAGAGGTTTCAGTGCTGGCCACGGAGAGCTACGACTGTAACACAAACAGCATGAGCACACAGCATCGAGCTCACTCACATCAGCAGCTGCAGCTGCAGCATGGGCAGCATCTGACGCTCCTTGGTTCGCCTCTTGTGGAAGATGTTGTTGTCCTCCTCCATGGCAGAGTGCCTGTCCGTCGTGCAGGGCACATCCACCAGCACCTGCAGCAGCAGAGATCCCTGTCAGTCCCATGCCCAGGTCGAGCTCAGTGAGTCCCCTTGTGCAGCTGCCCCGTGCCCACCTCCTCCACCCTCACCACGCACAAGCAGCTCCCGGTGCCTGAGCACGGCTGTGCACCACAGTGAACTGTAATCATCTGGCTGCTCTGGCATTTTGGGAATGTGCAAACAGTCCCAGAGATGGCGGAAAACATCTCACACTTGCGCATGTCCTCGTTTAATGTTCCTCCTCTGGGTGTCTGCCTGGAACACATCACAGAAGCACACACGGCCAGTGCTCCTACAGCAACACCTCCCAGAGCATCAAACCCAGCCCCTGAGGCTGGACATGGCTGAGAAAACAGAATTATTTAATCTTCACACTTAACCCCTTCCAGCTGATGGACAAGAACACGGTATTACACAGGCAAATAAAAGTACAACTCTGAATGCACATATGCACCGTATCCTGAAGGAAGGGATAGCAGGAGGAAATATTATTCCCTATGTGTCTTAGTCCTCTCTCTTTCTCTGCATTTAAGATTGTGGAAAACTACACAGTTATACTGTAGGATAAGCTGCTGCCTTCCTCAAAAAGAGGGTTTATCTTCACCAGTTCCCAATAACCTACCTTATGGAAAGTGCCACCTTCCACATCCTGCCAGTCCCTTCCGTCGTAGGACGTGACACTCACAGTTTCCCTGACTTCTCTGGGAACATACTTATGAAGGATCTGGTGCAGCCTCTTTGTCCGAGAAATGGAGACATCGTTGGCTGCCAGATGCCCTGCAGGGACACAACAGGAACACTGGGAATTGCAAAACCACACCTGATTCTCAACTCTTATACTCAGAAATGATTAACAGTCAGACATTAATGAGCACAGCACACTCTTCCAGCCCTGTTTAAGGATGGGGAACAAGGGAACACCCACCTCCACTCATACAAAGCCCAGTCTGCAGCAGAGCCAGAGTCTTGCCACCCGGAGCCGCACAAAGGTCAAGGACAAGGTCATCCTGCTGCACATCGAGTGCAAGGACGGGCAGGAGAGATGCTGCATCCATGAGATAATAACCAAGGAGCCCCAAAATGTCTGGCCTGGAAATCACCAGTTTGTATAACACAAGAAAATGTGCAAGGGGAAAAGAAAAGAAAAGAGCAGTTGGAAGTGAGGACTGGGATGTAGGGAAGCAGCAGCCCTCAAGGCTGGCAACAAGAGTGGGTGGTCTGTCCAGGGATGTCTCACCGTGCAGGGCAAAAGCGTGTGATGTCACCCCTGGGGAAGGTGTAACACTTGATTTTGGGGCTGATGGAGGCACGAAACGGTGGCGATGTCTCTGCCTGTGTCATTGTCTCTGCCTGTATCACAGTCCTGCCCTGAACACAGCCCTCCTGGGAGCCTCTCACTGCTTCCCTCGCAGCCACACCCCGCTGTGATTGCTGTGCCTTTTGGAGGGCTTCAGAAACGAAATCGGTAGCATTCAGCAGCTCCAGCTCTTGGGTGACGTGGTCGACAGCAGAGAAGTTGTTGAGGAGGGCACCGTACTTCTGCTCACAGAGCAGGCCAGCACGGACAGAGGGCCACAGCTCCCCCAGGTGCAGGCTGTAGCTCGTGTCGAAGTGGTGCAGGGCCAGCCGTGTGGGTGGGATGCGGGGGGCCGTGGTAGCCTTGGGGGAAAAAAAATACCAAAGACATTAAAAGACAAAATAGTTCAACATCCCAGTACCTCCATCCAGCCTCTATGTTTTTCCGGGAGAATCCAGCGCTGGATTCTGTGCTGCCAGAAGTCGACGAGGCCTTTCCACTGCCCCTGAAGGTGGCAGGGACAGGTGAACCCCTATATCCACAGGCTGGTGGTGCCCCGGAGCACGAATGTGACAGGACTCGAGGAAAAAGCATGAAGCTGATTTGGGAGAATTTTAGGTTAGATATCAGGAGGAGGTTTTTCACCCAGAGGGTGACTGAACACTGGCACAGGCTCCCCAGGGAAGTGGCCAAGCCTGTCTGAGTTCAAGAGGCGTTTGGACAATGCGCTCAGGAACATGGTGTGATTCTTGGGGAGTCCTGCACCGGGCCGGGAGTTGGACTGGACGACCCTGATGGGTCCCTTCCAACTCGGCATATTCCACGATTCCATGAATGGCCGAACGATTCCACGATTCCATGGATGGCCGAAAGGGGCTGGGTGCACGGGGTGGGCTCGCGGGGAGAGAACGGCCGCGCACTGAGCAGCGGAACGAGGGTGCAGCGAGAGGGGCGAAGTGGGGAGGTCAGAGGGGGGAACGGGGTGCAAAAGGGTGAGCGGGGAGAGACGCGGGTGCGAAGCAGCGCGGTGGGGGTGCGGGTGCGAAGGGACACCCCCCCCCCCCCCCCCCCCCCCCCCCCCTCCCCGCTCCCGGTCCCCGCCGCACCAGCGCGGCCGCCGCCCCCCCAAGCAGCGCCGCCATCGCTCCCCGACAGCGCCTTCCGGGGCGGGACCCGGGAAGTGCTCCCGGCCAGGAGGGATGGGGCGCTGGGAATCCGGGTCTGGTGGCAGCGGGCTGTACCTAAATGACCTTTGAAGTGCCTTCCAACCCAACCGTTCTGTGGTTCCGTGATTACTCGGCTGGGTTGGGGCTGGGAAGGATCCAGCAACAAACGGGCTTTGCGGCAGGAGAAACGCGCGCCGTGCAGCTGGACCTCGCACAACAAAAACTCCTGAAAGTAACATTACTCTTACCCCAATAAAAATCTGTTTCAGTCCTCTAGGGATTAAGATTGAAATCCCCCAGCAAAAAGACTATGGACCACTTCATGGGTAGAGAACAGCCAAGTTAAAAAGGTGGCAGGTTTAATTCCTCTTGGAAGAACAGCTGAGAATTTTTCTCAGCCCTGTGACATGTGCTAGTTTTTCTGCTACTGAACATCCTGCTCACAAAAGGAAGAGGAAGAGCACAGACAGGACAGTCCCAGGTGCCCAGAAGGGGCTGGTGACTCACAGAGAAAGGCTTTATGTCCCCCAGGTGACCCGGTCAGGGTTTGAGAAGGTGAACCAACACCATACACCTCCACAGCCACATTGTTGGTTTCCTGGGCAAGGAGGTAAAGCTGGCTGCAGCCAGGAGGCTCTTCCAGCCACTGGCAGCAGCAGGAGACAGTGAGGGACAGGTGACAGCCTTCTCCCAGGGGTGAGGAAGGAAGTTTTCTCTCCTAGAAAAGGGTCTTGAAAATAATCTTCGTGGCTCCAACAGATAAATTCTTCCCCGTGGGACTGGGCTGCAGCTGCTGCATATCATGGCTGAAAAAAAAGGACATTCCCACAAGCGAGGATGACTCTCTCTGCTAAACTGGGCTCTGACACCGATTTCACCTTAACCCAATGCAAATCAGAAGCACAAGAACCTGGAAATAAACAGAAAGCACTTCCATGGGAACTCTGAACATTTTAATATGGAAAATTACAGAACATCAACACGTTTTTTTTGCACAGCTTCACATCTTCCAGGAGCACAGAGGCAGTGACACGCTGCCAGGAAGCCGTTTTGTTGAAGCTCAGCATGGAGGATGGACGGCAGGAAGCAGAACTGTGATCCAGGAACTGCTGACACCGGCTGTGGAAGCAGGTGGACGTTCACGCCCACCTTCACTTCAGTTTACTAAAAAGTTTGTGAGCAACCTGGAAAAGAGAGAGGGAGAGAGACCTCAGTAATTTGTGGTTTAGGGATGGAAACCAGCAGAGTGTTACCACCTGCCTCTTGGTTTTCTGGACCACCAATGCACACAGCCCTGCAGCCTCCCCCCAGTTCCTCTCGTGGTTCTGCAACAAGTCACTCAAGAAAACTAACGAGATGCAAAGCTTCAGCTCAGGTTAAAAAGGCTAAACTTTAAAATGTCAAATACAAGACTGAAAGAGCCAAGTGCCATCTGCAGGCCACAAACTACGGGTGTGACTTATTTAACTGAATCCCAGCTGGATCTGATGTAACAGGAAGGAACCAAGCATTTAATAAGAAAACACAGTTTTTCAGAGCTCCCTCTGACTGAAGAGCTATCACATGTCACACTCGACCTGCCAGCACTGCCAGCAGCGCGGCTGAAGGCAGCTCCGCCCCCAGCCCCAGCAGGGACGCCGCACTCACACAGTGGTCCCTGGCGTGCAGGAAGTCGAAGAGCTCCTCCGTGCACTGCTCCTCCGTCTCGGACCGGGAGGACACCCTCGCGTCACACAGCTCCAGCCGCTCCCGCGCCTTCACGCATTTCTCCGTCTGCTCGCAGTGCTCCCGCACCGTGGTTAAGGGATCCTGCGCACACGGGGCCGCGCTGAGCACCCGGACACCCCCACACGCCGCTTCCCCCCGGGCCCCACGGCTTCAGGAGGGAGCCACGTCGCGGCTCGGGCTCAACCCCCCTCCCCACCGGGTGCTGGGCCTTCAGCACAGCCCGGCCCGAGCCCCCCGAGCCCGGGAGTCACCGGCGCGGCCACCCGTCTTACCACCAGCTCCTCCTCTTCCTCCTGGGGAAAGAAAAGAGAGCACAGCGTTACGGCCGCCCAAACGCCCCGTGTGCGCCGTCCCCCGAGCGGATGGGAGGAGGATCCCCCGCTCACCTCGGGCTCCCCGCCGCGTCCCATCGCGCTGCCGCCGCACAGAAGGACTCCGCAGGGTCACCCGCCGGAACTGCCCCTGCCCGCGCCGGCAGCGGAAGCGCCGACTCGCCAGGGCGAGGCTTCCCCCCGCGGCGCGGCCCTTCCCAGCATGGCCGCCGCCGGCTGCCGCGCCCCTGACAGCGCCAGCACGGCCATTGCTGCACTCACTACCCGCTTTATCCTTTCTCCCCGGGGCCCGCTGCCTTGGAGCCGGCTCGGCCCGGCCGCCGCCCGCCCGTCCGGCCCCGCCGCCCGGCGCGACCTCCCCAACATGGCCGCCCGCTGCCGCCGCCTCCCAAGATGGCGGCGCGGGGTGGGCGGGCGGTGCCCGAGGCGGCGATGGCGGCGGAGGGGCCGCGCAGCCTGTTCGCGCTGAGCGCGGCCGCCGTGAGCCGCAGCATGGGCGCCCTGGAGCGGGACGTCTGGGGTAAGGCGCGGGCGGCGCGGGGCGGCGGGGCGCGGGGCCCGGGCCTGCCCGCACCCTGCCGCCCTCTCCCTCTCCGCAGCGCTGCCCGGGCACCTCCTGCGGGGGCTCCTGCCGCTCCTCACCATCTTCCGCCTCGAGCGGGCCGAGGGCGCCGCGCGGAGAGCAGGTGACACCGCCCGGGACGGCGGCGACCGCGGGCGGGACCCCCGGGGCGGGAGGGATGGGGCCCCCAAAGTGATGGGGTGGGAGGCTGCGGGGATGCCCCCAAACCTGGAGGGACGAGTCCCACACTAGAGGGACCCTCCGCTGGAGAGGGGAGCCCCGACCCAGGGGGGTGAACCCTCTATGCAGGAGGAATACCCCCAGAGCACCGTCCCTGCCACCGGGGCTGGGACAATCCCTTGCATCCAAACCCTCGTGCTCTGTCCCACACCCCGGCAGGGTTCCCGCACCGCTGCGGGCCCTGCTGTAACTTCGCTCCTTTTGAGGACGAACAAAACCTGACATTTTTAACTCGTGCCCCGTCAAAGGCGGCAGTTTTCCCCCTGCCTGTCCTTGTGCCGCAGGATCTGGGTCTGTGCTCCCGGCACCCCGGTGAGCTCCAGGGCAGAGCACTGGGATGGGGAGAGGGGTGAAAGCACCCCGTTGATGGTTTTTCCCCCCCAGGCCTCTCGACACAGCCCATCTGGCGCCAGCT